GGTTCTAGAAACGCTGCTCGGAAGTTTGCTCTTTGTCCTGGGAAATAATTGTCAGGATGTACTCTTTGTATATCTTTTGGCACTAAATTAGATCCAATGAACTATTATGGAATTTAGCGCTACGAACACATCCACTATGTGCCCCTCCCAAAGCGCATCACCATAAAAAATTAAGACTTTATGTACAGTGGTCGGAAAGCCCAAAAACCCTAATTAATGCAAAACATCCGGACAATTGTTTCCGTCGCTGTAGAAGGCTAAGCAGCAAGCTGACCAACGATGCCGAAACTTAACACTTGCCCTTGGGCAAATGGTCTTGCTCGACACCAAGACTTTGGGAATTCCCCTCCCAAATAAATTACGACCAAGATTTTGCGGACCATTCCGCATTGTTCGAATGGTGACACCAGTCACCGCTCAGCTCCAACTGCCGGCCAACTGGCGAATTCATGATTTCTTGCACATTTGTCTCCGACGACCGTTCATCCCGAGTGCGACCAATCTTGACCGTCAACACATCAATCCTACGGTCAACCCAGTACCCGAGCCCACGACAGTCTCACAGGAACGAATTGAGTATGATTAGGGGACACAAGGGGATATAACCTAAGTTGTTGTACTCTCTACGAGCATGCACCTATCTAGCCTAAAACATATACAATTATATGTTGACACAACCCCTAGGCTAGGCAAGGGGAAATGACTAGCACAAGATACGCAGCTCAGGGTGGCACTACTAGTCCAACCTCTAAGACAAGGGTCTGAACACCAGTCAGCAAGAGTACAAAGGAAACAACAGTAACCTAGGGCAGCACTACTAGTCAAGCCACTGAAACAGGAGCCACAAGGCTAGTCAAGATAATATAAGGAGTAGTACGCAATCAAGGTCCTAGCAAGTGTGAAGCTACTAGAACTAGACCAAGCTGTACACAGTGTTGCTGATAGTCTTTAGGCGCAAGTGCCTTCGTAAAGATATCAGCTGTGTTGGCACCGGAGGCCAAGTGTACTACGCGGGCCTGGCAGCGCTGCTGTAGCTCGTGCAGGAGGAAGTACTGCAGCTGGATGTGTTTCGCTCTGCCCTCCATTCGAGGCTACTAAAATAGAAGGATCATGGCCCTGTTGTCATCGTACAGAACCGGAGCAGAGCTAGGCCGCACACCTAATTCTATGAGCAAGAAGGTCAGCCAGCGGAGCTCCTATGCCGCCATGGCAGCAGCGTAGATCTCAGCCTCATAGCTAGACTGAGCAACAAATGACGAGCGACTGGACCTCCACGAGATGGCGCCTCCACCAAGGCTAAAGTAGTAGCCCTGGGAGGACATGAGCGTCTTAGCGTTGTCTGCCCACGAAGCGTATGTGTGCCCTGTAAAGACCACTGGTCTGCGTCCTCCTAGCACTAGCCCCATGCCCGATGTACTTGCTAGATAACGCAAAACCCCTTTAGCGGCCGACCAGTGTTGTGGTTGGTGTCTACCTGTGGCCACAAAGTGAGCCACGATGCTGAGAGGGCATGCAAGATCTGGGCGAGTGCAGTCATCAGGTACATGAGGCAACCCACCAGCTCTGTGTAAGGACCACTAGACTCTACAAACTCCTCAGGGTCTGGAACCAAGAGCGAGTGATCTACTGGCAGAGGTGTGGGATGTGCGGAGAGAACTGAAGACCGACCTCTGAAGAACCTGGCGCACCAAGTGTGACTGTGTGAGAGTGATGGTGCACGCTGCTCTATCCCGGGAGATCTGCAGGCCAAGGTAGCAGTGCAACTCTCCTAAGCTAGTGCAATTGTGTCTCCTCAACAGCTCAGCCTTCACAAAGGCCAGTGCGTCTCTGTCTGCAGTAGCGAAGTCCAGGTCGTCTACGTAGACAATGATGTAGAACGGGGTCTAGCCAGCACGGACAAAGAGCGAAGGGTCTGCAGGTGACGGGGAAAACTGCAGGTCAGCTAACGTAGCATGCAGCATATCGTGCCACTCATAGGGCGCTTGCCGCAGGCCGTAAACTGCGCACCGGAGGAGCCACTCGATACGGGGGGTGAAGGTGCCGGCATAGCCAAGCAGACGACGCACGCAGGTAGACCTGCTCATGCAAACTTCCCTGGAGAAACGATGTGGAGAAGTCAAGGGAGTGCAGGTCGTAGTCACATTGTGCTGCTATGCGTAACAGCGCCCGAAGAGTAGTCATCTTCGGGGTCAAGGCGAAGGTCTGAAAGAAGTCAACACCCTCGCGCTGACTGAAGCCTCTCACCACGTAGCATGCCTTGAACACAGGCGGCTTTTCGAGAGGGCATTTCACCTTTAAGAGCCATCGGCCATCGACTACGTTCACCCCAAGTGGGGGAACTGCATCGATGTAGGTGCCGGTGGATCTCCACGACATTGTCTCCGCGTCCATGGCAGCTATCCACAGAGAGGCCTAGGGTCCCGAGGTTGCCTCAGCATAAGTGCAAGGGGTGGGGATCTCAAGGGCGTCTGAGTCACCCTCAGGGACTAGCAGCATGGAGCAGAGAATAGTCCAGTAGGGTTTACGACTGGGTGATGCCCTCTGCACGACGGAACTGGCCAAGCCGACCAGAGGCGAACTCGCCGCCATGGTCGGAGTGGAGACACGGCACGGGGAGGCCATGGTGGAGTCGCGCAGCTACGACCCACGAGATAAGAACGTTAGGCACGTCGACCTTCCACTCCAGGGGAAACACCGTTGTGTAGCGTGTAAAGTCATCGACAAGCACTAGAAAGTAGCGCTCGCAAGGCGGCCCAGGGACAGGGGCGGGACCCCAAACGTCTAGGTGGAGGGTCGGGAGTGGCGCTGTGAGAGTACGACCCCGTTACACCACTTGTCCCTTTTCTTATTTCCTTCCCTTTTCATTTCTCTTTTTACCGCATCTCAATTGGTTTCCTATTCTTCCTTTTCCATTAACCTTTGGTTTATCCTGCTATTATCATTATATCACCGACCAGGCTTGGGATGTATTGGTGTGCGCTATCTGGCGTAATCCTGCCGTAATCCCTTAAAGCCAATAGCCTCGCGTGGCTATACGCAGGGTGATTCTATCTTCTAGAAGGGTCTATTCCCTTAGGATAAGATAAACCTGGTTACCTGATGTACTCTGGAAGTATAAAGGCGCCTTGTACTGATCGATAGTGCAACCTTTCCTCGACACATTCGATCCTGTGACACTTGGTAATCAGAGCTTTTCTCACTCGGCCGCGCTCAGCTAAGCAGCAGCAGCGGGGATCCTGCCTCGAAAAACCGCCGGGGGCGACCAATTCGACGCCGATTCTGGTAAGCACCAGCTCCGCGATTTTCGAATTACCCCCTCCGTGCGTGTTTTGAACAGGATGGCAACCTTCGACAACGCCGAGGTTACCCAGCAGCTCTTCGCGCGCATCGCAGCCCTTCAGGAGGAAATGCGAGCGGATCGCGAAGCGTGGCGAAACCAGTTCGAGCGAGTAACTCGACTCGCCGGAGCGCAGCACGAGACGACAACGGCGACGACGCAGCAGTCGCAGCAGTTTCTCGAGGCTCCGAAACCGCGCCCACCTGAGCCGCTCGATCCGAGCGATCGAAACTCCGACGCCCGCAGATGGATCGCCGGGATGGAGATCTACTTCGCAGCCGTCGGATGGAGCTCGCCAGTCTGGGACGGTCAACGCGTACGACTCGCGGCGACACTGATGCAAGGGCCGGCACTCGAGTGGATTGGCGGCAACAGTACTTTCATCCACGGTGAAGCCACGTGGCAGCAGTTCCGCGCCGACCTGCTGAAACGCTTCGAACCGATAAATTCGAGTTTCCTTGCCCGGGAAAAAATTCATCGACACCGACAGTTCGGGAGTGTAGCGCAGTACACGCAGCAGATGGAAGAATTTTATAACCGAATTCCCGACCTGACCGAAGGGGAAAAAGTACAATCGTACCTCGCCGGGCTGAAGACCGAAGTCAAACGACAAGTCGCAGCGTCAAACTACGCGAGCTACAGTGACGTCGTTTCGGCAGCGGAGCGCTTCGACATGGTCAACGCCGGAACACGACGGACGCACGTCGGCAGTACGCGACAGGGCGACCGCTCGGCTCACCCCACGTTCGCCGACCCGATGGAAGTCGACAGATTCGAGGGGCGGCCACGTCCGAAAAACACCAACTACACGTGTGATTTTTGCGGGGTGCCGGGCCACCGAATCTTCGACTGCAACAAAATGAAGGCCGCACGCGCAGAGTATCGGGCACGCAACAGTGGCGGAAATCTTTCGGCCAATCAGAAGACAAAAAACGGGAGTCGCCAGTGATTGCGGATCTAGCTGGCGAAAATCAAAAGATCCGAAAGCGGCCGCGGGATTCCGGAAAAATCAACTTCGACGAAGCTGATTCGACGCGAGAAGGAGGAAATGATGGGGGAAAATCTCCACCCCACGACCAGTCTTCGCCAGGGAAAATCGCCGAGAAAAAATACGACTCCGCGAAAAAAGACTCTGCCGAGACAGGGAAACTCCTTGAAGACCCAAGAAATTATAAGAATTCGTTAAAGTTATCTTATAAAGATGCTTTAATGAAAACTTATGATGTTCGAGGGGCTAGAGCCTTGGAGAAATTTCGGGAGGGACTCCAAAAGAAGCAGACAGCTGTGGAGATTATACCGGTACCGGACAACTTGGGGACCAAATTAAGGAGTGTGGAAAGAAGCCGACCTTTCCACGGAGTCAACGTCCTCTCCCGACACCAGCCCACAACGACTACCCGCTCCCCAGGGAAGACGTCGGTGGAGCTGAAGCAGCTCAAGAGGAAGCTGGGGGTCTACAAGAAGCTGCACAAACCCCGAACTCCTCCTACGGATGCATCCAGTTCTTCGGCATCAGTGACGCGCACAGTCGTCAAAGAAACTCCGGGCCCTGGAGAAGAGCCGTTCTCCAAGCAGCCTCGGCCAGCTGCCAGCTCAGGAGTAGACAGCAACACAAAGGTGTGTACGGAATATAGGGATGTACCCTATGACCCAATCAATGAAACTATCTTTGGGTACTCCGAGCAACGACTGCCCCTCGTGCTCGAGGTCATCTGCAAAGGACGACGCCTCCAAGCACTCGTGGACAGCGGAGCGTCACACACCGTCTGCGACAAGGCAATGATCGACCGACTTCGGGAAGAGTACAAGCCTTCAGGATTCTCTGCAACGATGGTGGACGGCAGCAAGTTACCAGTACACGGCGAAGCAGTGCTACATCTACAAATTGGACCACTGCGCTGGAGACCTGCACTCCCCATCACCAACATCAAAGGGCTTGACTTGATCTCCGGGCGAGACTTCCTGAAAAAATTCAACCCCGAGATCAACTGGGTGAACCTCACCGCAAGCATCTACAACAATGGACGGAGGGTACAGCTACCCAACTGGGACGATACTGGAGATATCCCAGTGGAGACACTCGCACGATTCGAGAAGGACGTGAAGCAGACCGACACCGGGTTCCTGGCGATAGCAACAGAGGTGGAGAATAACGGAGAGAAAGCCTCGGAAACTCCAGAAAAAATCAAGGAATTACTGAAGGAGTTCCAAGACATTCTTCCTGACGATCTTCCGAACGAGCTACCGCCATACCGAACACATCAACAGGAGATTGTGGAGGAACCGGGTTCGAAACCGACCTTCCGAGCACCATATCGGCTCAGCCCTATGGAGCTGACTGACATGAAAAAACAGATCGAGTATCTCCTAGCCAAAGGACTCATCCGACCATCCACTTCGCCGTACGGTGCCCCAGTACTCTTCACACCGAAACCGGACGGAAGCCTGCGCATGTGCATCGACTACCGAGCTCTTAACAAGCAGACCATCAAGAATAAATATCCGATACCGCGAATCGATGACCTGCTTGACCAGCTTCGGGGAGCTACGGTATTTTCCAAACTGGATCTGCGGTCCGGATACTGGCAGATACGGATGGCGGACAACTCTATCCACAAAACTGCTTTCCGAACTCGGTAAGGATCGTACGAGTATTTGGTCATGCCGTTCGGACTCACCAACGCGCCGGCAACGTTCCAAGCCGAAATGAACCACATTTTACGACCACTCTTGGACGAATGCGTGGTGGTGTACCTGGACGACATCCTCATTTACTCGCGCGACATGAAGCAGCACGTCGAACACCTGCGACGCGTCTTCGAAATTCTTCGACGAGAACGATTCCACGTCAAACTGTCCAAGAGCGAATTCGCCCTTGAAAAGGTCCAATTCCTAGGACACATGGTGAGCGCTCAAGGAGTTCACGTCGACCCCAAGAAAGTCGAAGCCGTACGTATGTGGAAGACACCCGAGAACGTGAAGGAGTTGCAGCAGTTCCTAGGCTTCGCTAATTACTACAACAGGTTCGTGCCACAGTATGCAAAACTCGCGGCACCACTCACGAATCTGCTGAAGAAGAACACGTCCTACAAATGGGAGACGAAGCACCAGGAAGCCGTGGAACAGCTGAAACAAGCACTAACATCCGCACCGGTGCTCATCTTGCCAGATCCCGAACGTGACTACGTCATTGAAGCAGACGCCAGTGATCAGGCCGTGGGTGCAGTCTTAATGCAAGACCAGGGGAATGGACTGCAACCAATTGCCTACCTCAGCAAGAAACTGCACGGGGCAGAACTCAACTACCCGATACACGACAAAGAGGCTCTTGCTATCATCATCGCCTTCAAAGCGTGGAGATGCTATCTCGAAGGACGAAGAACGACCGTCTACACCGACCACTGCAGCCTGAAATATTTGAAGACACAACCCAACCTTTCCAGGCGGCAGGTCCGGTGGATCGACTTCCTCGAGACACACTTCCACTACGACATCATGTACAAGCCCGGCCACAAGAACAAAGCAGACGCTCTCAGCCGGCCTGCACACGTTGCCGCGATTCAGGTCGAAGGGATGAATCCACTACTCAAGGGACTCTTCACCCACGGGTACGCCATCGACCCCGAAATTTCCTTGGCAGAAAAGCGACATCTGCTACAGTGGGACAGTGACATCGCGTACCGGAAGGGATCCACAAAAATTTGGGTACCCAATTACCCTCCTTTGCGCCAGTTACTACTCGAAGAATACCACGACGTCCTGTACGCCGGACACTTCGGTAGCAACAAGACGCTCACCGGTATCGCCAAACACTACTACTGGCCCCATATGGCAGACGACGTCCAGAAATTCGTCACCTCGTGTGATACATGTCAGCGGATGAAGAGCAGCAAGCAGAAAAAGGCGGGACTACTGCAGCCTCTTCCTGTCCCAGAACAACCATGGCAAGTGGTTAGCCTGGACTTCATCACCGGGTTACCACCTACCTCCAACGGTCATGACGCCATCCTTGTCGTCATTGACAAGTTCTCCAAAATGGGACACTTCATCCCGACACACACGACGGCACGCACCGAGGAGACAGCACAGCTCTTCGTTCGTCATATCATCTCACAGCATGGCATCCCAACCACACTCATTTCCGACCGAGACCCCAAGTTCACCAGCAAGTTCTGGAAGGAACTCATGTCTCTACTCGGCACCAAACTCGCCATGTCATCCGCATACCATCCGCAGACAGACGGACAGACCGAGCGCCTCAACCAAATTGTTGAGCAACTCCTCCGAGCAGCCTGCAAGGACGACATCTCCAAATGGGACTTGCACCTGCCCGTACTCGAGTTTGCTTACAACAATGCTACACATGCCGCTACTGGACAGACGCCGTTCTTCCTCTGCTACGGACGCCACCCACTCACACCACAAAAACCGACAGCATCAGCTACAGTCCAACCCGCACATGATTTCATTACAACCATGCACCAGCTTTGGGATCGGACCCACAAGCGCCTACTCGACATTCAACAGCAACAGAAGCGCCAGGCCGATCGCCATCGCAACGACCAGACCATCACGGTGGGAGACCAGGTGCTTCTTGACACCCGCAACCTGGACATCAGCCACCTCCCATCTAAACTTCGACCTCGCTTCTGCGGGCCTTTTCTCGTTGAAGCACAGGTCACTCCTGTTACCTTCCGCTTACGCCTGCCAGCTACCTGGAAGATTCACAACGCCTTCCATGTCCAGCTTCTGAAGCCCTACCGGGATCCGAACACGATCTTCGTCGGACGACAACTTCATTTCCTTCCCTTTTCATTTCTCTTTTTACCGAATCTCAATTGGTTTCCTATTCTTCCTTTTCCATTAACCTTTGGTTTATCCTGCTATTATCATTATATCACCGACCAGGCTTGGGATGTATTGGTGTGCGCTATCTGGCGTAATCCTGCCGTAATCCCTTAAAGCCAATAGCCTCGCGTGGCTATACGCAGGGTGATTCTATCTTCTAGAAGGGTCTATTCCCTTAGGATAAGATAAACCTGGTTACCTGATGTACTCTGGAAGTATAAAAGCGCCTTGTACTGATCGATAGTGCAACCTTTCCTCGACACATTCGATTCTGTGACAGGCGCAGTGGTAGGGGGGAGCAAGGAGGAGTGGGGAGCACAACGCATCGCCTTCGATGCAGGGCGTGCATGGTGGCGCAGGCGAGGGAGGGAGGGCAGGGAGCGACGCAGGGAGACCACGGACAAGCCCGTGATGGGACATGAGACACAAACGTGGGAGAGCGGGGTGACCTAGGTGGTGGTGCCATAGCAGTGAAGCATGGGTGAGCGACCGACACGAGCACGCTACAGCTACCTGAGAGGATGCGGCGACCTGGGGGAGCGCTCCCACTAGGGAGAACGCAGTGTCCAGCATGAGCAGGCGAGACACAGGGGTCCTGGGGGAACATGGTAAGAGGGGCACCAGTGGCGGCCTCGGTACAAACAGCTTACCGCTCGTATCCAGGGAACGTATTGGTGATGCAAAGGTCCTGAAGAGAGCTAACACCAACTAGGTTCCTCGAGAACGAGAGGATGTGCAAGCCTGTAAGTGAGCCCGAGGGGACCTCTGGACAGGGAAGGGTAGTGGAGCTACGTGTGACTACCAGACCTGAGGAGGGGTTAGCGAGCGCAACAACGGCAGGTGCAGCAAGCGGCGCGAGCAAATTGTGCTCGCGTAAAAAGCAGGCCGATGCTCCAGAGTCGAGTGTGAAAGAGAGCGAAGTAGTAGTGTCTGCCGTAGCGGCAGCTGGAGCTAGCGTAGAGCCTAAGCTAAACCAGGCAGGAGGTCCTACGCCTGACGCAGCAGGGGAACCTAGACTACACACGGGAGGCACACCTACTCTACACAAGAGTCATGAGCATATATAACATTCATAGCAATCCTAATCTAATCCATGTCAAGCTCAAAGACGGGCACACGGCGGCGGGCCATGGCTTATCAGTCAGGAGGGTCCAAGGCGGGACCAAAGCGGAGATGGTAGAGGTCTTCGATGCGACGGTCGCAGACAGTGCCGTAGCGGGGGCCGGTCTGAAGCTAGTACTGGTAGGTGGTCACACTTGAGCCGCCACCTGACACTGAGCTGCGCTGGACACCACCCCGACCACCACCACCAGCGCCACCAGTCGACCACGGAGGCAGGGGTCCCAACGACGATTGCTGCTGCTGCGAGTGCTGCTGCTGCTGCTGCTCCAGGGCACCAGCCCTGGTCCCCTCGTCTGTACCATTGTCCCCGCCCCCACATCCACCACCCCCAGCACCCCCAGCACCCTTCCCTCCGCCACGCCCCCCCTTGGGGCGGCGGCCCCTATCCTGATGCTGCTGCAGCAGTCTTAGCAGCACGGGCTGTCTTAGCAATAGCAGCAGAAATGTCAAATTGCATTGGGAGGGAGCACAGCCCTGGAAGATAGGGACCGGCGCAACACCGCTAGACTGAGCGATAGCGTGCTCGCGGGTCTCTATGGCGGACAGGGCGGTGACAAAGGCAGGGAGGGTGAGGTCACATGGGTGCTAACTAAGGAAGTGGTCGCAGGAAGTGGCTAGGCGGTCAGGCAGGGACGTGGCAATGAGGTATAGGGTAGCGTAGAGCGGAGGCGGGAAGGCACTGAGCTGTGCCTTAGTGCTAGCGGTGCGGTAGCTAGCCTCCAGTGCGCGAATGTGCGTGCCAAGATCAGCGACAGTGGGGAATGACGGAAGGTCAGGGAACAACATGGGGAGGATTAGGCAGCTGGCAAAGGCTGAGGCAGGGGTGGAATAGCATGCGATGACGGCATCTAAGTAGTCCTTGGCGTTTGCTACAGTGGTAAAGCCGGGACGCTGGGCAGGGGGAGGGCGTGGCTAATGGCAAGCTGAGCAACAGCGTTGCGCGAGTCCCAGACAGCACAGGCAAGCTGGGGAGCGACAAAAGCCTCACGCTCGGCAGACGTGGGGGCGTCAGGGAGGGCAGCAGGCTGGCCGGGGCATGGGAGCTTGCCATCGACGTGGACGACCAGGGAATGGCCGTCCTGACGCTGCCCAGTCAGCTGGCGGCGGAGGTCGACGAGCCACGCCTCAAACTCAACGGCCCGACCATCCGCATCGAGGCGAAGCACATCGTCCGTCATCGCCACAGCTGCAGTAGCTGACAGCCGCTAGAGGCAAAGGAGAGTGGTGGGGAGCGGTGGAGAGCGGTGGAGAACGGTGGTGTGTGGTGAAGAGCAGTGGAGTGCGGTGGAGTGCGGTGCTGAGCGGTGGTGGAGAGCAATGGAGACTCTCGGGGGGAGCGCCGGCTCAGAGGGGAGCCAAGGCCAGCAAGTGGGGGCGGCAGAGCGGCTCGGCGACACGGCGTCACGGCGGCACTGCGCAAGGCTGCCCGGCAACGTGGCAGCTTGGCGACACGGCGTCAAGGCGGCACTATGGCTTGAAGGCGCTGCGGCGCGGCGGCTCGGCGGCACGACGGCTGGCGGGCGTGGGGCTGGCGAGCGAGGGGCCGACGAAGGCGGGGCCAGCAGGCGTGGGGCTGGCAAGCGCGGAGCCAACAAGAGCGGTGCTGGCGGGCGCAGGGCTAGCGAGCGAGGGCCAGCGAGCGCGGGGCCAGTGGGCGCGGGGCTAGTGGGCGCGGGGCCAGTGAGCGAGGGGCTGGCGAGCGCGGAGCTGGCGACGGGAGGGCCGACGAGTGATGGGCCAGTAGGCGCACAGCTGGCGCGCGCGAGGCCAGCGAGCTACAGGCCAGCGAGCGACGGGGCTGGCGAGCGCGGGGCCAGCGAGCGACGGGGCTGGCAGGCGCGGGGCTGGCGAGCGCGGGGCCAGTGAGCGACGGGGCCGCCAGGCGCGAAGCTGGTGAGCTTGAGGCCAGCGAGCAACGGGGCTGGCGACAGGTGGCTGGCGCGTACGAGCGGCCAGCAGCTATAGGCGGCTGGCGGCTAGTGGCCAGCAGCGGTGAGCGGCACGTGGCTAGCAGAGGCGGCTAGCGACGGGCGGCTAGGAGTGGGCAGGCTAGCGACGGGCGGCTATCGACTAGCGGCTAGGAACGAGTGGCTAGAAATGGGCGGCTAGGACTAGGACTAGGGCGGAAGCGCGGGTGGGCGGGGAGGATCTAACCTAGCGCGTGATACCATTTCAGAGTAATGAATTGAGTATGATTAGGGGATACAAGTGGATACAACCTAAGGTGTTGTACTCTCTATGAGCATGCACCTATCGATCCTATAACATATACAATTATATTTTGACAGACAGAGCCGTCCAAGATTCTCGCTCATCGCGTACGAGGACATCGAGATATAGCAACCGTTGATTTCCTCGTTCAATGGGTCGATCGCACGAGTGGCAACGACATCTGGGTTCCCGCAGCTACGCTCGGCGAACACAAAGTTGTTCCGGACTATTTACACCAATGACGTGTCCCGAATGTGGGGAGTCTCGTCCCGGAAGGGGGGGTGGTGTAAGGAAATTCCTTTTCCTTACTGGGCTCGACTACATCGAGTACGTCATCGACTCTCGGAAGTCCAGGCTCAGCCAACTTCTTTAGTCCCGAACCACTTTGCGAACCCAAACCTAGACGCGTGGCGCTTCCGTAGATTTTGCCAACCGAACCACCCCAACCTGTTCGCGTGGTTCTCGGCTAGCCCTGTTCGTGCCTATAAATGCCTAGGCCCTCATTTGTATAGACACGCTCTATTACACTACCTGTTATTACTCCGATTAATTCATAACAGCTACAACAGCAGAGCCCAACGTTGCCATAAGCGAAAGTGCCGTACAATCGTACAGATACAGCTTCGCTGCGACTTTCGTTCGCGTCGCGACCGCCGACAACTGCCGCCATTCGGGTGAAGATCCTCGCCTTCGCGAGATCTTCGTCACCTCTGGTGCTCCGCCATTTTGTCGGATCCAAATCTTGTCCCCGCTCTTACCCTATCTCCGACACCTTCAACTCCACCGAAAGAAATATCGCCACACCATACCCACTCCTGGTTTCTCAACCACGTAGTACACTCGCGAAGACTTCGGTCACAATTTTCGTCACACCCCTCCTGTCGCACTGCTATAAACTCCCCTCCACCAAATCATTAACTCATCACAACCATTTCCCTCCCAAATCCTTTGTCTGCTACTCATTCGTCGCTCATCAACTCCCTGCGAACTTCCCAGCCCTTACGATTACTTGCCCCGCAATTTCCCAAAATCTCTGAAGTATAACAGCTTGCAGTGTCGATTCCTTACTTCTCTTGTAATGGCGAGTTCACGAGCCCTACTCGTCCTCGGATTAATCTGCATCACTCTTTGCATAGCTGGAGCAAACGCACAAGCGAAGCCGAAGCCCACCAAGGCGCAGCTCAAGGCGGAGCTGAACAACATGGCGATTAACATCACGAAGCGTTACCCGCAGTATGCGAAATACGCGAAGGACATCAACAAGTACATCGGCCTCGCGTTGAACTCCAAGTACGACTTCTCAGCCCTCGCGGACGCCATCATCCTGCTCCCCAGCAACACGGAGGCCGAAGCCCTCGCTAAGAAGCTCCCCGCTAAGAGCAGTAACATCCCCACAATCTACAACATTACCGCGTACCACATCATCCGGGGGAAATTCACCGTTCCTCAGCTAAAATCGCTCAAGAAGTCTCAGCCCGTTGGTACTCAATTGAAGCAAGCCCTTTACAAGGTTTCGCCCCAAAACGGCAATACAGTGTCGTTCACCAAGGGACCAAACGCTCCTGCTGCCACGTGGACGACGATCAA